TTTTTTTTTTTTTGGTTCGGGGGATCGAACTCCTGACCTTGCGCTTGCGAGGCAGGCTTCGGAACCACTGAGCTAAATCCCTAGCACCTTGGTTTGGCTTCTTTCTTAATTGAGGCTTTGCTTTCTTTTTGATTCTGGGTTTGAACAATAATTGTTTTTTGTTTGTTTTGTTTTTGAGACAAAGTCTCACTAAATTCAGACTGGCCTTGAACTGCCTGTGTAGCCCAGACAGACCTCGAACTCCTGGTATTCCTCCTGCCTGAGCCTCCTGAGTGCTGGGATTACAGGCATGCAACACCACGCCTGGCTTGAACAATAATTGGATTTGAATAGTGAATGATAATTTATTGAGAAACATGCTTTGATTGTGATGGTGAGGTGTTTATAAGAGTATGAGAGAAGTGGGGTCCTAACGAGTAAAAACTGTTTGCAAGGAGCCATCAGACTATATGTGGAGAATGTTTAAACTTGAAAAATTTATTACAGTACAAGACACATTGCCATTAAACACCTTGAAAATACTCCCCCTCACTTTGAACACACTTATATTGTTCTTGCCACTCTCTGAAGCAGTTCTGGAAGTCTTTCCTGGGTTTACAAGGTGTGATTAAAAATACAGTGACTGCTGCTGCTGAGTGCCATCCAGTGAAAAGGCAGGCTGCTAAGGACATCATGATGTGTCTTTACGTATACCTTATTCACTGGATCTGGCCCTGTGACTGTTCCCAAAATGATCACGGAAGGTAAATGTTTCCAATCAATTTAGGACATGGATACAGCCACAGCAGTGCAACTAAAGACAGCTGATTTCCAGAGCAGCTCCAGAAAGTAGCAATAATGATGGGATAAGTGTGTTCAAATCAAGGGGAAATGTTTTGAGGAAAGTTCATGATAATGTGCCATTTATTGTAATAAATCTTTACACACGTATGTTTTCTGGACTCAGCTCACTAAGTTATCACTTTTTGTTATCTAGGAGGTATTCCAAGCTAAATTAATGTTCATTGTGAACAAAATAGAAACTTTATATGTTTATTAAGTTTTGTGCAGGAATTGTATCTCTTTGGGAACTGGGTCACTTTAGGTCTGCAAGGTCAGACAACCATGTAGTAGAAGCAGGTTGAACTAGAATTCTGAGGTCACCAGTCTACAAAATCATAGCGTCTAGTGTTAGGTGTTGTTAAGAGGTCATAGAATGCCGTCTGATTTGTGTACCATTTGATCTTTGTCATGTATTTGTATTATGCAAAAAAGGAAGGAAATACAGATAAATTTTATACCTTGAGTGGTTAAGTTTATGAGTGAAATTATTTTTCGCGTACAATTTTTGGGTATTTTCTATTTTGGCATTTTGGAGTTATCACCAAAAGTTATTTTAAAACATAATAGAGCTGTCTTTGAATAAAAGAGTGGTTAGATACACCTTTTCTAGGAAGATTATTTGTGAATGTGCAGAACATTGTGCTTTTTAGTGTATAGGTGTGATTTTCTTTAAAATATATGTTTGTATTCACACACATGTAAGCATACATTTTATCATATGCTTAAACTATTGCTGGAAGGTTATACAAGAAAACCTAATCCCTTATGGGAATAGAGGTAGTAGGTACATCAATTATGAAATTTTAAAAAAAGATATGTGTGTGTATATATATATATATATTTGTATGTCTATATGATGTGCACAAATAAGTAAAAATTATTGAGAGCATACCAGTGGAATTAGAAGACATGAGAGGAAATGCTTAATAAATACTTTTAGTGACCTCTGGACAGGCATTTCACCAGTTAACTTTTAGAAAAAAAAGCTTTAAAAGATATTTTCAGTTTAAAATCTCCTCTGATTATTATGGAGTCTATATGTGTTTTGTTTTGTTTTGCTTTTGACAGGGTCTTGTTATGTAGTTCAGGCTGGCCTTGAATTCACTGTGTAGCTAGGTTTGCAGCACTGTGCTGATCCTCCTGCCTCAGCCTCTCAAGTGCTGGGATTATAAGCGCCACCAGGCCTGGCTAGTATGGAGTTTTGAAGCTTTCACTCCATGTGGTTACACTTAGAATAATATGCTTTTTGGAAATTATTTTTTGCTTTGTGTAGTCTTGAAATATTTGATTCCTAAATATTTTTCAAGGTGTTATTTAGTATATACATTTTATTTCAGCTGGTGAGGTGGTACACAGAAGTAATCCCAGCACTGTGGAGGCTGAGGCAGGAGGATTTAGAGTTAAAGGGTAGAATAGGCTACATAGGAAGTTCAGGGCCACCCTGGACTGCATAACAGATCCTGTGTCAAAAGCAAAACAGAACAGAACAAAACCAAAAAAATTTAGGGGTTGGGTGATGCAGCTCAGTGGTAAAGCATGTGTTTAATGTGCATGGAGCCCTGGGTTCTGTCTAGCACCAAATCAAAACAAAACAAAAACAGAAACCTAAAACCTCATGCAAAGTAATAGTTACTAACTTTATTAATACTTATCATCCAACTTCAAAATTATCTCAAAAAAGTAAAATGTTTTCTCCCTCCTAGAATTTGAAGCAAATCCCATATGACATTTTATCTATAAATATTTCAACATGTACCTCTAAAGGATAATTTCTTTTTCTCTTTCATAACCACAGTACCAGTTCACATTAAAAAAACAAAAACTTCTTTTGGTGATACTGGAAATTGACCTCAGGGAATGGTAAACTACAGCTCCCATCCTTTTATTATTTTATTTTGTTTGAATTTATTTTTGGTACCAGGGATCAAACTCGGGACCTTGCTCTTGCGAGGCAGGTGCTGGAACCACTGAACTAAATCCCCGGCCCTATTCTTTTATTTTGAGACAGAATCTTTATAGTTGTCCATCCTGGCCTTAAACTTGCAGTCCTCTTGGTTCAGCCTCCTGAGTAACTGGGATTACAGGTAGGCACAACCATGCTTAGGTCCAGCTTCCTCTTTTTTTTTTTTTTTTTTAAAGTTTTTTGGGACAAGGTCTTTCTGTGTACTCCAGGTTGGCCTTGAACTCACTATGTAGCCCAGGCTGGCCTCAAACTCACAGTAATCTTCTTGCTTCAACCTCCCAAATGCTGAGATTACAGCCATGCACCACCACCCCCGGCATACAACTTCCTTTAAAAAAATTTCTCTCCTAAAATCTTTGGTTTATCTATTTGAGAAGTAAAAATTATACATATTTATTTTGTACATGATGTTTTGACATGTGTACATCATAAAATGGTGACTCAAGGTATTTAACATACATATCACCTTATATTTTTATCATTTTTTGTGGTAAGGACACTTAAAATCTAGTTTAAGCAGTTTTCAAATATAAAATATATTATGAACTGTTATCTGATATCCATTTAGTGTTCAGATTTCTCTGAATTTATAAGAAGTCCCCTAGCATTTTATAATAAAAAAATTTCAAATACACAGCAGAGTTGAATTTTATAGTAAACACTTGATTATGTGATGCCTAGATTTAACCATTAACATTTTTACTGTTTGCTTTTTTTTTTTTTTTTTTCCTGAAGACTCAACAGTGGTCCTCCTGCATCAACTTCCCAAGTGCTGGGATCACAGGCATTCGACGCCACACCTGGCCTGCTGTTTGCTTTGTTGTGTGTCTGTCTGTCTGTTACTCTGTTCCTCAAATGACATTTTTTTTTCCAGTATGGGTCAAATTCAGGACCTTGCGCTTGCCAGGCAGGCAGGGCAGCCTCATCAAACTACGGGGCAGTTAGCAGCACCACTGAGCTATATCCCTGGTCCTACATGACTTATTTTTCATAGTTGCTTACAGTTAATCAAATTAATGTCTAAATAGGATCTTTAACCTGAAAGTTGCCCTTCCTTTTTTTTTTAACTTGTTTATTTCTTGAAGAAACTGTCATTTGTCCTGCAGAGTTTTCCATAGTCTGGTGTTTTGTTTTGTTTTGTTTGTTTTGAGACAAGGTCAGGCTGGTCTAGAACTCACTGTGTAGCTAGCCCAGGCTGGCCTTGAACTTGGAGTGAGCCTACTGCCTCAGCCTCCTGAGTGCTGGGATTACAGGCATGTGCCATCATGTCCAGCCTCCGCAGTCTGCCTTTTGATGATTGCATCCTTTAGTGTTTTTGGACATCTTTTGCCTCTGTACTCCTTCTAAACTAATAGTTGGCTCAACAGGCTTCATTTTTAAAAAAAGTTTTCTCCATTATGATTATAAATATAAAGATGCTGAACTATTTTAAATGTACTTTTTTTTTTAAATAGGGTCTCCCACTGCCCTTGAACTCATTATATATCCCAGGCTGGCCTCGAGCTCATGGTGATCCTTCTGTCTCAGATTCATGCCTGGCTTAAATATATCTGCCTTATGATGTTTTTTTTTTTTTTTTTTTGGTACCAGGGATTGAGCTTGGGACCTTGCGCTTTCGAGGCAGGTGCTGGAACCACTGAGCTAAATCCCTGGCCCTGATGTATTGTTATTTTTAAAATTTACTTATTTAGGTATTGGGAATTGAACTCAGACTTGCACATACTGGGCAAGTGTTCTTCTATGGAGTTATATCCCATGCCCCATGATATATTTTTATTTTATAATATACTACTGGTTTTAGTTAATGTTTTATTTAGTATTCCCTATCTATAGTTACAAGTAAAATAAACCTAGTGATTTTCTTATATTGTCTGTCTGATTTAGGAATTAAATAATTTTTTTTTGGTGCTAGGAATTGAACCTAGGACTTCTGGCATGCTAACCATGTGCTCTACTACTGAACAACATCCAAATCCCTGTATTAGTTTTTTAAAAAAATAAGCAGTTTTTTGTTTTTCTGAAACAGATTGTAAAAGGTAGGCATTATCTGATTCATGAAAACTTGGTAAAATCCTTTGGGCTGGGAGGCCTTTTTTTTTTTCTAGCTGAAACTATGATTGTTACTTTAGTTTCTTTAATATTTGTTCTATTCAAGTTCTGTAGTTCTTTATTCACTAATTTTATTATCTATTTTTTTCTAAAAATGTTTTCATGTAGTTTTTCCAATTAATATATAGTTGTTCTTTGTCTCACTGTTTCACTTACAGCTGTTGTTTTTTATTCTGTATTTTCTGTATTTTGTGTCCTGTCCCTTTTTTTGTTGTTTTTCTATGATCTGTCCTGCTAGAAGTCAGAAATTTGCTTTTGTTGTTGTTGCTGATGTTGCTACTGGGGATTGAACCCAAGGCCTTCACACTGAGTTACATCCTTATTTTTAATTTTTTACACCCTTATTTTTAATTTTTCATTTTGAGACAGGGTCTCACCAAATTGCTAAGTTGCCGAGGCTGGTCTTGAACTTGGAATCCTCCTGTCTAAACTGGGATTAAAGTGTACACCTCTGTGCCCAACTGAAGTTTGTCTTTTTTTTTATTGCCTGTGATTTTGAAAATTTCCAAGCATATGTGGAAAGAAGAGTATTACGAACTTTCATGTACCCATTGTTAAACTTCAACAACTATCAATATTTTGCAATAGTTTTTTGGTCTGACTTTCTTCCTTTGTAAAAAAGTTTCTTTACTAAATCATAATGTTTTATTTAGTTAGTTTTTGTGGTGGGGATGGAACCTAGGGCTTTTGCATTGAGCTATACACCTATCCCTTTTTACTTCATTTTGAGACAGGGACTCATGATGTCAGTAAATTTTCCAAGCTAGGTTGAACTTCCAGTCCTCCTGCTTCAGCCTCCTAGACTGCTGGAATTACAGGCCTGCAGCAGCACACCTAGCACCAAACCATAATTTTACAAATTTAGCAGTAATTGGTTAATATCACTTAATAATTAGTGCATTTGGCTCATAGTTTCAGTCCATGATGGCTGGCTCCAAGGTAGAGATGTCATGGCAGGAGCTGTTTTCTTCCTAGTGGCTAGGAAGCAGAGCAAAAGAGTGTCAGAGAGGAAGGGGCAAGGGGGCAGACATAGATATCAAAGCCATGCTTCTATGATCTACCCCAGAGACAGCTAGAAGTATGCTCTACAATTCCCAGGTAGACCCAAAGCCAGTCAACTTGGCGCTCCACCTTAACCGACACAAAGGCCACAAAGTTTCAAGAGGCATTCTGCAGCTATAGCAGTTTTTTGAGTGGGTGGCAATGTTTATGTTTTAAGTGCTGAGGATTTTTAATAATAGGTGTACAGTGCATGTTTCTCAAGTGTGGGATTGTCCTGAGAGCCTGGTGACCAGGCAGTTTCATGTTTCTGAATGACTTGGTTTTTGCCTCACAACTTTTCTTCTTATTTAGTCCTTGTTTATAAGATATAAGCACCTTTTCATTTGTCTTCTAATTCTCTTATGGTTGAACTCCCTTCCCCAATTCTGAACTCTCAAGTCCTCAGTTTCTTCTACACTTGGTAATATATCTGGGAAGAATCTGAGATGGATATGAAGCTTTACCGGTGGGCTTCCCTTTTCTCACAAATTGTAGCCCTGCATCTCTTGTCAACCATTGCCTGGAAATAGGCATGCATATGCCTGGAAATGCTGCATATGTTTTGTCCACTTATGTTATTGGTGATGGAAAGGAAAATCTGGTACTAAGGTACCAGAATACCTCTGGTATTCTTTGAACCATGTGCCATCTGTCTGTTTTTCTCACTGATAGTAATCTCTAGGTCAGTTGTGCTTTAAAGAAAATTGGCTCTTGGCCTGTAGACCTCCTTTTTTCTTTTCCCCAGTCCTGGGGAGTGGACTTGGCACCTTTCCACTGAGTTACATCCCCATCCCTGTTTATTTTTTATTTTGGGAGAGGGTCTCACTAAGTCTCTAAATTGCCCAGACTTAACCTTGCAATCTTCCTCTGAGATTATAGGCATGTACCACACTCTCCTCTCTTTGCAATTCTGCCATCATTCTAGGTGATCTCGGTACTTATGGGAACAACCCATCAGGTAATCTGGTCTATCTTTAGGTGATTCCTCTTCAGCTTCCCACTTGTATTGTCATAATCATTTGTTATCACTAAAAATTGCTTCACCTCTGAAGTCTTAAGAATCAAATATCCCACTTGCTGACTACCGTCTACTTCCCTCAGTCAGTCACACTGTACCAGTTACACTGTACCTGCAACTGTACCTGGTATGTGTGTATGTTGTATGTATGTATGATACTGGGGGTTGAACCTAGGGTCTTCACTCTGAGCTACATCCCCAGCCCTTTTAAAATTTTTTTATTTTGAGACATGATCTCTCTGCTGCTGTGCTTGACATCTCAATTTCCTCCTGATTCCTCTGCTTTTTTTCCTATCTGTTGTCCCTCTTTGGTTGTCAGCTACTCTCCTACAAAATTTGGAGTCATTCTAGCTTAGATTTCATGATTGACTGCTTTATTCATTCTACGGTATCCTTAACTCCCTTCCTTGCTACTTATCTGAGAAAAGCCAGAATTGAATCGGTGATTCTGTTTGTGAAAACTCAATGCTGCTGGAGAAAATTCCACAACTGAAAATTCACTTTTCAGCTTCAGTACTGCTCAGCAGTTACTGAGGATAACCCTCTTCTCACCAGCAGCTATTTCAGAACTTTCCCGTTCTTGTAGAACTTATGATCATGCTTTCTTTGCCCTTTACTCTCAACATCTCCTGTTTTCATAAAAGATCTGTTCTCAAATCTATCAATGTAACTGCATCCTGATCTATCTGTTCTGTGATGTCAGGGAAGAGGCATTTTTCCCTTTTATTTCTTCCATTTAGGTTCTGAATCCCAACTCTTTTCCTGTCTTCTTTAGGATGTTATTCAGTATTATTTTTATTTGTTTGTATTTTCTATTTTATCTCCTTTTCTCTTATGAGTATTTGTGAAAGCCAGGTGTGGTACACACTTGTAATCCCAGGGAGTCTGAGGCTGGAGGATCTTGAGTTCAAGTCCAGCCTTGGCTACTTAGTGAGTTCAAGGCCAACCTTAACTACATATCAAAAACCTTGTCTCAAAAAAACAAAACAAAAACAAATATATATACATATATATATATGAGATCAGATTTTTACCAAAACCTTTTTCTTATTCTTTGAACTCACTATGTAGTCCAAGCTGGCATTGTCTAGTACAAAGTAGGTACTTTGTGCAAAAAAAATTTGTTTTTGCTGATATATAGTCAGAATTTTGTTGGAGTGTGACTATAATGCATATCATTAAAGGTATTTTGAGAGAATGTAGTATGGAGTAGTTAAAGCATGACAGCATAGGTACTAAATTATGAAATGTTGAGAATTTATATTTATACTTTAAATGAAATTGCGTATTTGCTGACATATATTTCATGATTATATTTAATAAAACATTACAGAAAATGAATCATAATTGGAAAAATTGCATCTGATTGGTAGGTGCTTAATGAATGCCTACTAAATCAAAACAGGGATGATTTAGTGTTATGCATTTTCTTTGGTTCTAATTATTATTTTTATTTATTTCTAAGGTATCTTCATGTTTTGATGATATTTTGGTCATTTGTTGCTGGAGTTGTTACATTCTACTGCTCATTAGGACCTGATTCTCTCTTACCAAATATATTCTTCACAATAAAATACAAACCCAAGGTAAAATTGTGTTTTTCTTTTAAGTTAGTATGTGTGACCCTATGCTTTTTAATATTTACCATGAAAGCATATTAAAGCAATGATTTTTAAAAGTCTGTTTACTGTTATTTATTAATAGAAGACATAAAGTCCCTCAGAAACTTTTCAAAATGAAATTTATTTGTGTGAATATGTATTCCATCACATTCTTGCCCTCTTTTTCAGGACTACAGTTATAGAAGGAGCTATAAAAAGAAAATATAAACTTGTCAGGGACTTGGGAATCTATCATTTTAGAGAGTCCTCTGACTATATATTCACTGTTCAGACAGTAAGTTAAAACAGATTCCCAAGCCTAGTTGTACAGTAGAATCGCCTATTGAGTCTTCAGAAATATAGAGGCTCAGAGCGACCCTGCATCACTATAAAAAATGGGCTGGGGATTTAGCTCAGGGCAAATGCCTTGGGTTCAATCCTCAGTACCACAACAAAACAAAACAAATTCTTGGTCCCTGCCACCAGATTTTGATGGAATAGTTCTAGGTTAAAGCCTTGTAATTAATAGTTAAGACCTTTGTAGGTGATTCTGAGGCATTCCACACAGTTAAGGAATTCTGGATTAAATAATTTAACTCTGTGTTGTCTTTTTTATGGTGCTAGGGATTGAACCTAGGGCCTTGCACAGGTAAGGCAAGCACCCTATCACTCAGCTACACTCTGTTAATTTCTTAAATATCTCTGTGTACCATAGAAACAGAAATAATTAGCCAATTTATGTAACCAAAATAATTTGTATTTCTGAAATTTAATAAAGGTAGTAGTATATGGAATTGTCAAAAGGCAAGGTTTTGGTCATAAATCAGGACTTTGTGTGATCTCTCTTTTTCTTTTTTTCTTTTTTTGTGCTGAGGGCCTCACTCATCCTAGGCAAGTGTTCTAGTTCTGTCCCTACCACTAAGTGGAATGTCTTGACATCTTACTTGACTAAGTTGCTCCAGTCCCTTGTCTCAGGTTTGTTAGTATTTCTACTCATAAGAAACACAACTGACAGTATGCAGGGAATCTTGCTAGTTATGTATCTTCTTCCTCATTCAAAGTTTTGGAGAAATAGAAGATCATTTTTTCTTATTGTGTTTGTAGTAGAGTCTCTCATTCAGTTTATAAGTACTCATAACGTGACTTTAATCGAGCTTGGAAATCGCTTAGGTATTGTAAAATCATCAAGTGGTTTTTTTCTCTGTTAGAATCGTAGTTTAGCAAGTATTATTTATTATAAAGAATGATTTCATTGTTAGAGCAGACCAAAAAATATCCTCTGGATTTCTTTTTTTTGTTTTGTTTTGTTTTGAGAGGTGAGGTCTTTATTATATAGTTCAGACTGGCCTTGAACTTTATGTAGCCCTGGCTGACCTTGAACTCTGTACTCCAGCTTCAGCTTCCCAAGTGCTGGAATTGCAGGCATGTGGCACCACACCTGGAATGAATTTCTATTAAAGTGAAAAAACTTTTGAAAAGTTGACTCTTTTTTTTTGGTACTGGGGATCAAACTTGGGACCTTGTGCTTGCAAGGCAGGCGGAGGAACCACTGATCTAAATCCCTGGCCCTGAAAAGTTGATTCTTTGTGGCAAAGATAATATGTAAAGTTATGACAAATTTCTCTCTCTCCCTCCCTCCCTCCCTCCCTCCCTCCTGTTTTTTAGCAGTTGGGACTTCAAGAATTATTTCCTCAAGGTCATAGCTGTGCTGTTTGTGGTAAAGTGAAATGTAAACGACATAGGTAAGTTAAGCATTTCTTATTTGTTGATCTTTCTAGTTACATTTTGTATTACAAGTTATTTAATTGTATGTGTGTGTCTTTTTTTTAAGGCCATCGTTACTTCTTGAAAACTACCAGCCATGGATAGACCTAAAAATTTCTTCGAAGGTTGATACATCTCTCTCAGAGGTGACTGGTTTAATTAATATTGCCAAATAGAGTCATGTGTTATTTAATTATGGGGATATGTTCTGAAAATTGCATTGGTAAGTAGTTTCATTCATGTGAGAACATCACAGGATTACTTGATAGTTCAGTGGAAATGGACTCACGTTGTCGTCAAGAGCTGTGGTAAATATGAGCTCTGTGCGGCTGCTGCCAGCCTGATGCGGCAAACTGTTTTGTAGTAAAGTGGGTTTTTTTTTTTTATGAGTAGACTGTTTCAGTATTTATCTAAAGTAACAAAAAGTATAGTAAATATATAAACCAATAATAATTGTCACTTATTATTATCATGTATTAATATAGTATGTATGATTGTATGTGCTGTACTATTTTATGACTGGCAGGTTAGTAGGTTTGTTTATACTAGCATCACAATAAACATGTGAACATTGCATTGTACTATAGCAGCTACGACCGCAAAAGGTGATAGGAATTTTTCAGGTCTTTTATAATCTTTTGGGACCACTATTTTGATGTCCATCATGATGGAAATGTCATTTGGTGCATGACTGTATATGCAAACAAAAAAATGTTAAATACCTATGAAAAATTTTTCTAGATAGTTTTATTAAAAAATTTAATCATGGAGTATCTCAATGCCACCTAATAAGTTCTGAGCTAGGTAGTTGACTTTTGCAAAATAAGTAGCTTGAATAGTAAGCTATTCCTGATTAACCTTGGATCCCAGATTTAAATAAGCATTTTTACCTGGTTACTGCTTACTTCCTATAAATACTGTAATACATATCTTTATGATAGGCAGGAAGAAATAACCGCTTTTTAATTCCCAAAGAAGCATTGTATTTCTTACTGAATTATGACCCCAGTTTTGACACTAACTGAAGATAGAACAAAGAATGGGGTAATTTTCACTATTTCTGCATAATAATAGGAATAGAACATTTGTTCTCTGATCTTTGCTGTAGTCACATTTTGTATATTCTTTTTTTTGGTAACATACGTGTGTTAGTTATTTGTTCTAGAGACTTGTCTTTTTCGTGAACTGAGGAACCCTCAGATTCTTAGAGGTAGGGAATGGGGGTCTCATTTGTTCCCAGCATCAAGTTTAGGGTCACATGTATTATTGGTAGCCGATAGATATGTGTTAAATTAAACTGAATGCTAAGTAGTTGAAGAGCTGTATTTGGCATCTGAATCCTGCCTAAGTGTCCTTTATCCTTATTTGACTAAAGGTAAGCTACATATAATGCCATTAATGCTTGGCATTTTTCTTCTTCATTCATTTTCCAAGGCCCTTTTCATCTCCAAGGTTTGCTGATTTAAGATAATACTGTCTAGTATGGTAGACACATGGTCTGGGCACATGTGGCCATTAGTGAAAAATTGAAATGTGCTAGTCCAAATTGAGATGTCATATATATATATAATGTACATATATATCAGAGAAGGATGACTACATTTGCCAGTCTGAGACTGGGAAAGTGTATTTCAGGATGGTAGAGCTCTTGAGAGGAAAGAAACAGACTCTGTGTCAAAAAAAGGCAATAGGAAAGGAATGAAATAATAAATATTTTTAGATCACTTTGCCACCTCTTTGGAGGTTGGAGGAGAGCATGTTTGGAAGCAGGGAGATTAATTTAGAGGATATTGTGGCAACACGAGTGATGAGATGATGACATGAACAGTGGTGCTGTAGAAGAGAGTGGCTTAGCATGTAAAACTAGTGAGTTGTTGATTGATTGGATGCAGGGTATAAAGGAAAACCAAATGTTAAGAACTTTCCAGTTTCAGTATCCTATTAATTGTTTTAATGTGTTTGTCTAATGTGTCTAATGTTTGTCTAATGTGTTTTCTTTTCCCAAGAAATAAAATTCTTAATTTTTGTATTAAAAACCCAAATTATTGCTTCTTTAGTATTTAATTAGAAAATCTACAACTTTTATTACTGCTACAAGATAAAGCTTAAGTTTGGCAAACATATTGGTAAGATACATTGTTTCATTCTCTTCCTTTTAAAAAAAATTTTTTTTGAGGCAGGGTCTCACTCTGTAGTTCAAGTTAGTCTTGAACTCACTCTGTAGCCCAGGTGGGCCACTAATTTTCAGTGATCATCCTGCCTCACCTCAGCCTCCAGAATGTAGGAATTATAGGTGTGTACCACCATGCTTGGCCCTGTTGCTTTTGTTTTTTGAGAGAGGGTCTTGCCTGTAGTTCAGGCTGGCCTTGAACTCACTGTGTAGCCCAGGCTGACCTTCAACTCATGGTGATCCTCTTGCCTCAGCTTCTCAAATGTTGGGATTACAGGCATGCATTACCTGTTGCGCTTTTTTTGGTACCAGGGATCGAACTCAGGACCTTGGGCTTGTGAGCCAGGTGACGGAACCACTGAGCTAAATCCCTGGCCCCCTGTTGCTTTTTAAAAACACATAGGGGTTGTTTTCCTTTGTTGTTACATTTTCACATTTAACTTATATACTGATTTTAAATGTATAGCTTAATTTTTCATGTAATTAGCGTGCGGATCATGAAATAGAACATTCCTGGTACCCTAGAATTTCATGTTCCCTTCCAGTTGCAGTTTTTCCTTCAAAGCTGACCAGGGACATCTAATTTTTACACCTTGGAGAAGTCTGTTTCTTCATTTTTTTCCTAAGAATTCTGACTTACAGAGAAACTTAAGAATGGAAAGAATCGGGCTGGGCATTTAGCTCAATGGTCCTGCCGCCTGCCTTGCAAGCACAAGATCCTGAATTCAATCCCTGGTACCAAAAAAAAAAAAACAACCCAGAAGAACAAAAACAAAAAAAAAAGAATGCAAAAAAATCAACCAATTATTTTCTTTTATCCATAGAATTTTTTTGCTTCATTAAAGCTTTAGAATCAGAAATAATTTATTTGTGTTTTTATTTGATTATGAGAATATTTAGAAATAAATATGTGTCATTCTAAAAGAAATAGTTCCTTTTTATGGAGTTTTATGTTTTTCCTGGTATTTTTTCATGTGTTCTTTTTGATCTTCAAAACTATGTAAAGTTGGAATATGCATTTTGTTATGAAAAAAGTATGATATTACTGTCAATATTTGGGATAATAAAATTTTTTTGGTAATACTATATATTACTAAGTAGTACTGTTTATTTTTCCAGAATTAATTTTATTTTTCTTTAAAAATGATTTTTATTCAGGTTCTTGAATTAGTGTTGGAAAACTTTGTTTATCCATGGTACAGGTATGTTCTTCCTCTGCGATCTTTTTTCTTTAACACAATTAATACCATAAGTGTGCTCATGATGTGTTTTCAGAATAAGTGAGGATTTGTCAACATTTTAGGCCAAGTCTTTGTTGTGCGGGGCTGTGTTGTGCATTATAGGACCTTAAGCAGCACTCCCAGCCTCTTTACATTTATGCTAGAAGTTTTGCTAGAAGTTATGTAAGTTATGCTAGAAGTTATGCTTCCTTCCTTTTCCTCATCCCTGTTCTGACTACCAAAAAACATCCTCAGAGATTACAGAGTATTACCTAGAAGGCATAATTGCTCTAGTTGGGAATCATTGATGTAGGCAGTGTGATGTAGAGAGTTAACCAATAACTTAGTGATAGTAAAGAGAAGACACCTAGCCTGCTTTTCGAAAGAACACTAACTTGAACTTGTTTTCCCCCCTCTGGTAATCCTTTTTTTTTTTGACACAGGGTCTTGTTAAGTTGCCTAGACTTAGGTTTGAACATGTGAACCTCTTGCCTTAGACTCCTAGAATGCTGGGATTACAGGCATGTACCACCATACCTGCTGATTTGTAGAATTTATCATTTATAAATGTATTGGTTTAATAATTTTATACAGTTTTTACATTTGAAATAATTGTGCTTTTGAGAGGAATATCTATATTTAGATGTTTCATTAAATTGAAAAATAATTTCACTTGGGTTTAGTGGTGTGTGCCTGTAATGCCAGCACTTTGGCGGGGGAGGCAGGAGGATCACCATGAGTTCAAGGCCAGCCTGAGCAGCAGAGTTCAAGATAAACCTGGACTAGATGCTGTCTCTAAATAAATAAATGAATAAATAAATAAATAAATGGTAATTTCAATAGATTGTAAAGTTAATACTTTTTTTCTAAAATAAGTCTAAATATGTCTTGCATTTGTAATTTAAGGCAAGCTAATGGTGAAGCCTTTTGTAAAATGAGTCCTTTTCTAAAGATACCCTTATTTCACCTCACTACTGAATTATGATTATTTAGGTACAAAATCAGGTTATATTTCTAAGAGGTAAGTTACATAATTTCTCTTCGATCTAGTTGGGTTTTTTTTGTTTTGTTTTTTCCTGGAACTGAGGATCAAACTCTGGACTTTGGGTTTGCCAGACAGGCACGGTGCCACTGAGTTAATCCCAGCCCTTGATCTAGTTATTAATGCAGTCTGCTTTCTTGGGAAGCATGGTTGATACAATTGTCTTTATTCTGACAAGAAACTTAGTGGTTTGGCCTGTCTTCAAGTTCAGGATGTTGCCACTACACGTATCTTTTTTTTTCTTGGGCTTGATTAGGGAGATAAGCTAATTCTTCAGGGAAATGCAAAGTACCTCCTCAGATGAAGTTTGTAAAAATTTTGGTTTAAAAATGTTTGAGTTTCGTTCATTTTCTTTTTCAAAAGGAGCGTGCTTATACCCACACTCACAAACACTTACATACATATTTACTTTTAGAATTATATTATTTCAAATATTTCGAGCTAACTTAAAATTTTGTATTTTATTGTTTCTCCAAAATTATTGTTTGTTTGAGATTTCTTTGATGATGGTTGGAAAATAAACTTAGTTGTAAAAATGACTGTTTGCATACATATGCTTGCAAGATAATATATGCTACAATTTACTTAATGATTTATGTTCTGGTACTAGAATTATGAGAGATGTTTCTCTTTTATACAGTAATTCTAGTCTGCAATGGAATGCATTATTTATGAATTTAAAAATAGCATAAGTGAATGGAAAAAAGAAAAAATTCTTTTCTTGTTTTCAAGAAGGTGAAACTGTGTATCTCTAAACTTCTGAGTGTTTTTCTCCTCATTTGAAGGGATGTTACGGATGATGAGTCCTTTGTTGATGAACTGAGAATAACATTACGGTTTTTTGCATCTGTTTTAATACGAAGGATTCACAAGGTATATATTTATAATGAGAAGTTTGGAGATTTCAGGCTGTTTTATTATGAAAGATGATTTTAAGTCTTATTTTTTCCTATACTGCATATATTTGTTTTTACTTTTTTAAAATTAAAAATTCATGAATCACTTTTGACCTATTAATCAGTTTTGCTTTCTTTAGTACTTATTTATATTGGTTTATCAAAATGAGAAATGGAGACTTTAGAAAAAAGTCATGTTTCATTTAGATGAATTTATTGATTAACTGGCAGTTGTAATCCGCTTTTAAAATTTTGAGTTACATTTTGTATATGTTTGTATCTTTTCCTTTATATTGTAGTGTGCTGCTTCTAGACATATATTTATCTACTGCTTTGTCAGTGCAGTAGGACTGAGCATATTGACAGTGAATTGATACATGCTTGCCATTAATTAATGAGTTAAAGATTATTCATGTTAAATGTTTCTGTATCCGTTTGAGAAATGAACAGTATATTCATCCAGTTCACAAAAGAAAAATATGAAATAGCCAATGAACAATTGAAAATATATTCTCTTACGTTAGATAAAAGTTGTTAAGAGATATTATTCTTTTACCTATTAGATAGGGAAAGATAAAAAAGAATGTTCATATCTAGTAATGATAATTAGAGGAAATAGCAAAAGAAGTGCAAATCCAAATTGGTATCTTATACTTGGCAATCTTTAATGTACTTAAATATACTTAAAAGATGTTCCTGGGTGTGATGGTGCATGCTTGTCATCCTAGCTGTTTGTTTGTTTTGGTAGTGGAGATCAAACTCAGGACCTTGCGCTTATGAGGCAGGTGAGGCAGGCACAGGCTGCCACTGAGCTAAATCCCTGATCCAGTTTCTTTGTTTTTTGCGTTTTTGAGACAGGCCCTTGCTTTGTAGTTCAGACTGGCCTTGAGCTTGCCATGTACATTAGGCTGGGCTCAAACTCACAGTGATTCACCTGCCTTGATCTCCCAAGTGCTGGAATTGTAGACATGCATCACTGTGCCCGAAGTAGGTGGGAAGCTGAGGCAGGAAGATCGTAAGTTTGAGCCCAGCCTGGGCAATTTAATGACTTAGTGAGACCCTGTTTCATAATAAATTTATTTATTGATAAATGAAAACAGAAGTAGCTCAGCACTCCCCAGGTTTAGTCTCCAGTTTAAAAAGAAAGAGACTTAAAATTCTTATACTACCAAATTCAATTCCATTTTTATAAAATATTTTAAGGAAATAATAAAAAAATTTAAACAAATGTAAAGTAATTCAAATATGTGTATAAAACTCAAAGTTTTATTGCAGCATAATTTGTAATAAGGAAAACTGCTATCTGGTGATTGGATTATTAGTTGGGTAAATGTAATAATGCATCCTAACTTAGAATTCTACAAAATTGTGAAAAATCATTTGGTAGAATAATGCTTGTTTACATGGGAAAATATTTATTAAGTGGAAGAGACAAAAATATTATGTGTGGTGTTTTTCACTTTGAAAATAAAGCTCAGACATATTAAACTTGTTAATATTTAAGGACATATATATATGTCCTTAAAATTGTTAACATTTATTGTGTTACAATAATGGTGAGCTCTTGCTGAATTTGGATTCTGAATTTTTTTTTTTTTTTTGGTATGGGGATCAAACTCAGAACCTTGTGCTTGTGAGGCAGGCAGCAGAACCACTGAGTTAAATCCCCAGCCCTGGGTTCTGAATTTGGATGCTGACTTTGTACTTCTTTCTGTTTGCCATGTTTTATTTTTAGTTTGCATTATGTATTTATGATTTTTGATAAAAGTTGATGTTTTAAAAAACTTTCTGGGGCAATTGTTTCATGATACACTAAGTGCAATAAATAATAAGTAATATCAATATGGTTGATGTAGACATGGAAGTAATGATTTAAGATAAATTGTGTTCTTCGTAATAAATTAGTTAATAGGCATTAGTTAATAGAACAATTCTATGTTAGTCTTTGAGATAGCCTAGTGGATTCTAAAATAATAGCACCTCATATTTGAAGTATTAACATTTAGTTGATAACGTTATTTGATATGTTATTACATATTGTTTGATAAGAGCTTTACAGTAATTTTATTTAGTTAGATACAGAAGAGCTAAACTTTGAACTTAGGTATAAAATAGTATTGAGCCATACTGTAGCCTAAAACATCATTCATTTTAGTTAAATGCAATATTTGGTCCCTGAGTTTCTTTATGGGAATATGAAAATGTGTAAGTGAGGCATTTACCTCCTAAGAATCTATTTTTAAGAGATATGTATCAATTAACCAATTTAAAGTATATATTTTAGTGGTTTTTAGCATATTCACGTCACACAGCTATGCAGACATCACCACAAACATCACAGAGCTATGTAGATAATCACCACAATCAATTGTAGCACATTTTTATAACTCAGAGACTTTATACTCTTTCACCATAAACTTCACCACTCCTATCTCACCCCTAGCCATTTATAATTCTACTTTCTCAGCCCTAGCCATCCACAATTCTATTATCTTTTTTTAAAAAACAACAAAACAAAACTTGTATTTATTTATTTTATTTTGTACTGGGAATCGAACTCAGGACCTTGTGCCTGTGAGGCAGGCTGTGGAACCACTGAGCTAAATTCCTGGCCACAATTCTACTTTCTGTCTCTATGGATTTGTCTATTCTGGACATTTCATAAAAATGGAATCATACAACATGTGGCCTTTTGTGACTGGTTTCTTTCATTTACCATAATGTTCTCCATGTTTTTAATCTATGTTTTCGTGTTGTGGCATATATTAGCATTTCATTTTTAATGGCCAAATAATATTCTCTTGTGTGGATATACCATAATTTGTTTATCTACCCATTCTTAAATTGATGGACATTGGATTATTTCCACCTTTGGGCTATTTGTAACGTATGAGCATTTGTGTACAAAGTTTTTTTTTTTGATGGGTACATGTTTTCCTTTATCTTGGATATATGCTTAGAAGTATAGTTGCTAAGTCAAATAGTAACTGTATATTTAATACTTTGAGGAACTGCCACTGTGTTTTCCAAAGTGACTGCACCATTTACATCCCTTTCAGCCATGTATGAAGGTTCCAGTTTTTCCACATCATTGCCAGAATGAGTTCCCCTCTGACTGTCTGCTCATGCTCTTGCATATCCTGCCCCCCCGCCTCTCCCTCTCTCTTTCTTTCTGTTTCCTTTAATTCTAGCCATCTTATTGAATGTAAGTGGTATCCCTTTGTGACTGATTTTCAGTTACCTGGTACCATTTTATGTTGAGCATTTTTTCACATCCTTTCACATATATCATATATATCTTCTTTGGAGAAATCTCTTTTCAAATCCTTTGGCCATATTTTGCTGGGCTGTCTTTCAGTTATTGATCTTTAAAAATTCTTTATTTTAGATAACATGTCTTTTACCAGAAATACAATTTGCCAATATTTTCTTCCATTCTGAGTTACTGTGTTATATATTCCTTGTTCTCATTTTATCTGCATCTGTCTTGGGGGATGAGTGGGTCATTCATCATATCAATTTTATATATAATTATGTCAGTATCAGAGGTAGTAAATGGTCGTCTTAATACTATTATGATCTATCTTTCATATCCTTGTTCAGTAAGGTAATTTGGAAGTTTGACCATATCAAAAACAAAGCATCATTTAAGGTCTATATTTTTTATATCAAAATTTAGTGACAAATGCATTAGTTTTTGACTCTGACCTGAACACTTTAAAATGAAACTTAAAGATGAAATCTTCATGAGTATTCTCAGATAAGATTTTATAAAGTGTTTGAAAGTTATTTGATAAATTGAGACTACGATAATTTATTATCATTGAGAACCAGGTGACCAAAGATAAGTGAAGAGTAATGTTATTTTAAAATGAGGTGTTAAGGGCCGGGGATTTAGCTCATTGGTTCTGCCGCCTGCCTCACAAGCGCAAGGTCCTGAGTTCGATCTCTGGTACCAAAAAAAAAAAAGGAGGCATCATACTAGCAAAAATATCCCCATTTATTGAACGTGTTTGATCTTGTGCAGCAAACTCCTGTGGGTTTCACCAGCAGATCACCAAAATGCGAGGGCTTTATGAGCCATCACACCTAGCAGGTTCATCACCCTGTGATTTTCTCTTTTTCTTAATATGAATTTTTCCTCATGACTTTGATAAGGGAAAAATACAGGTTAAATTTATGGTGGAAGATAAACCTGCTAAAGCCTAATAAACATACGTTTTCGTAATTTATTTCCAATTTCTAATAGGGAAGACAAGTAACTGGTGATTTTTTTTGGAATGTATTTAAAACTAAGACTGTAAAGAAATAAGATAGAAATAAAGATACTTTGTGGGAAAAATTTTGCTTTTTAAGATATATTAAGGTAAAATTTTCAATAGTGTGGTAGAAAACTGTGATGTTATAGTTGGTATGATCTCGGAATACTTACTGCTTGTAAATTATATTTTTGAAAGATTCTTATTAATGCTTCTAGTTTTAAAATTTTTTATT